CGTCGGCCGTGTGAACATAGTTCACGCACCAGGAAAAAAGCCACGCTTGGTTGTTGACTCTTCGCTTTGCCACGCAAACCAGGCCTGTAGGGTGCCTGAGAAGTCATGTCTTCCCTCTTCGGGGGACATCCGCTCTGCCTTTCCCCTCAGAGGACATGACATTGAGGAAGTCTCTGCTTTCTTCGCAGACATTCGATCTGCTCACAAAACTGTGCGGATCCGTGAGAAGCATCAAGGCCGCTTAGGTTTCCGTCAACAGGAACGCCTCCTGTTCTATCAGGTGGCCCCGTTTGGGGCAGTGATTTCCAGCCACTGGTTTGCTCGCGTAGGAGGCTTCTTTGTCCGAGTCTTGCACCAGCTTCTGTTCCTCGCAAACGTGCTCATGTTGTACTCGGACGATCTGCTTTTGTGGCAGAACCGCAAGGTGCTGCCTCTGGGCGCTTCTGTTGTCCTTTGCTTCTTCGTTTGCTTTGGCATTCCCATTAGCTGGCCAAAGTTGCAGATGGGTCGCAGGATTACTTGGATAGGCTGGGAGCTGAGTTTTGCAGCCGGGGGTTTCCGACTACCAGCGGATAAGCGGGAGAAGGCTGTTTCCTTGCTTCAATCGTGTTTTTCGGGGAGACACGTTTCAAAGAAGCATCTGGACAAAGTCTTGGGCTTGATGCAGTGGATTCTCCAGTGTGCGCCCGAACTGCGGCCCTGGCTTTGTTGTCTCTATGACGACATGCGCCGACCGCTAGGTACCTCTTACAGCATTGATCCCGCAGATTGGCCTTGCTTGCCAGCGCATCTCTCTGATTCCCCGCGGTTCGTGAGTACCCCTCGAGGGACTGACATTCCAGTGGGCTCCACATTGCTGTCAGCCAGGCATAAGTCCTTGCGCGCGAAGGCCGATCTTCGCTTGGTGCTCATCTCCACGCGCAGGATTTGGCTGAGGATAGCAGACCCCTCGTCTTCCAGGCGAAAACTGTCGGAGCCCAGTAAAGAAATGCTGCGCTTCTTGCTGTGGTGGTGCCGCAACCCATGGCCTTGGCGTCCCTTGGCCCTTCCGCCAACTCTTCCTTTTGACAGTGCAGCAGATGCCTTTGGGGAAGGGGCCAAATGTGGTGTAGGAGGTTGGTTGCGCCTGGGTTCCTGTCGTTGCTTCTGGTTCTCGGAGCGCTTCTCCCCAGATGACTTCCTGGCTTTGGGAATCCCAAGCAGAATGCCAATCTGGATATTGCTTCGTATGAAACTCTTGCCCAGGGCTTTCTGTTTGTTGGTCCTCTTGCTTAGGACCATAAGCGGAGGGCGACTGCGAGCCAGGTTCCCCTCACTCAGTGACAACGTTGGTGCTGAGAGTGTCATTAATCGCCTCTACACTAGCAAGCAGCCCTTGGCTTTGTTTGTTCAACGCGTCGCCGTGTGGGCTTGCGCACATGCCGTGGCTCTCTCGTGCTCCCATATCGCGGGCGAGAGGAACACTGAGGCTGATGCCCTGAGCAGATGGGAAGAGTCATCCCCCATCCCGCATTCTTTTGGCCAGGCAGAGCGAGTGCGTATTTCTCTTTCAGCCTTTTGGCAGGTGCAGCTTCAGCCCACGCTTTTCCCATCTGATTTTCTTCAGTGGAAGCTGCCTCAACAGTCAGGGCCCTGGCGCTAGAGCTGCCCTTCTCTTTCAGCAGGCCGCTCTTTGCAGTCTCCGCTTTGCACTTCCTCGCGGGCAGCGTGCGCCTTCGAGCTCACATTGTTCACGATGTTGGGCGCGGCTTCTGAGCCAGCCGGCTTGCAGGTGTCCTGTGCATAGCTCCTGCGTGCTCCTATTTTCCAGCTTTGGCTGTCAAGTTGCTTAAGCTTTTGAGCTAGTAGGCCACTTTCACACTGGGCGGTCCACATGCGGCCTCATTTTTCTTGGCAACTTGGGACTGGGCGTACTGTGATCTTGTTTGCTTCTCTACATTACAGTCGCTGTTGCTTTGGTTATGCCCTCATTCCACTTGGAGATGACGGAGCAAAGCAGATCCCAGATTCCTCGCCAAGAAAAAGGTTGGTCCGCTGCATTAGCTTTGCTGTTGTGCTTTGATGTGGAAGTTCTACACCAAGCAATGAACGTGGCATGTGTGTACTCATGTATGTTTCTTGTTTGGTGTGACTGCCACTTGGGCTCCAAGCAGCTTGAACTTCCACATGCATGCTGCTTAGGGATAGCTCAAATTTTTCACCCAACCTTTTCACACCTGGAGGCTCGTGCTTCTTGCACTCTGTGGCTACGTACTTCAAAGTACTTGTCTTTGCTTTGATACGGGCGTACTGTGATCTTGTTTGCTTCTCTACATTACAGTCGCTGTTGCTTTGGGTATGCCCTCATTCCAATTGGGGATGATGGAGCAAAGCAGATCCCAGATTCCTCGCCAAGAAAAAGGTTGGTTCGCTGCATTAGCTTTGCTGTTGTGCTTTGATGTGGAAGTTCTACACCAAGCAATGAACTGTACCGAACGGGTCGCGCCCCTAATTGAGCAAAATTGCATTCCCGTGCGGGACATCCTCAAAATTCGAGGTTTGGCTTTCTCATAAATTATTCCAAAATTGCGTTTCCGTTCGAGACTGTCGCGTTTTTTTGCGAAAGTCGTGTTCCCGTGCGGAGCATCCTCCAAATTTCGTCGGTTCATCAGCATCACATTCGATCAAAATGACGCTCCGGTGCGGAGCATTCGGAAAATTTGGATCATTCATGAACGATGATGTCGAGGTTTTCTATACCAATTCTATACCAGGCGAACTTCGTTCGAGGTGGTTTTCTGAATTCAAAAGGGCGGTATCGAGCGGAGGTCTCCGGTATAGCTTTGGTATGGGATTCGTCGATTTCGTCGTTCAAAATTCGAGCGGTAAGTGGATGGATCCTATATTAATTCTATACAGGACTGCTCCGCTCAAGCTTGTCTTCGTCGTCCAAGTTTTGAAGAAAATCGCGCTTCCGTGCGGAGCATCCTGAAAATTTTGAAGACAATCGCGCCCGCGTGCGGAGCATCCTGAAAATCTTGAGAAAAATCGCGTTCCCGTGCGGAGCATCCTGAAAGTTCTGAAGAAGTCCCCCGTGCGGAGCATCCAGCATTTTTAACAAAATCGCGCTCCCACGCGGAGGTGCTCCCCCGAATCAACCGTTTCCAGCATCACTCAGGTGCAGCTTGCAGGGTGAGAGCTCCCACGGTGAGAAGCCAAAAGATCACATTGCCGTTTTTTAGTGGCCAGGAGCTCCATGTGGATCATGTGATGTATGATGTTAGTTGTTTTGCTGGTCACCTTGGCTCTGATACCAATGCTGGCCATTATAGGGCTCTTTTACTGGATAGGGGTAGTGGGAGGTTGCACAACCATGAGGCTGGCCGTAAACCTTTGGCTCTTAGGAATTTTCATGAGGTTGCGGGGGATGTGTGTATGACTATGTTAAACCGGCTTGAGTGACAGTGTGCGACACTTTTGACAATTCGCTTTGTGTTTCACGAGTGCTTTATGGAGTCAAGCCATGTAGCCTAGGCCCTACAAGTAGTTTATGGACGCCACTAAGGAGTGATTTGTGTGAATGCAGTCCTCGTTCAAGCTAACCGGATTCGCTTGGCGCACCGCAAAGCCAAAAAACACCTTGGGGATGCAAGGGTGCGGCATGCTACCCGTTAATGTTGGCAGTTACGGCTGGCATCTGCGATGATCCCCTCTGTTTACACAAACCTTGCACTGCGTGATTCGAACAAATCTGCTTCGTTCTGGCGTGTGGCAGGGAGACTTGATGCGTCCCAGGGTCCCAGGGTAGGTAGTAGCTGGACTTTGCACCCAGCGAAAAGGCCAATGCGATGTACAGTACGGCGTTGTTGTGGTGATGAATGCGGTTTCCGCTCACCGCAAGCCGTACTGTCACAACGTATTTTGCAGCTGTGCGCTGGAGCATTCAGTGTTGGTTTGAACTTCGAATCCCAACACATTGCTCGCTTCTGTGGGCACATGTTCGTGATCTCTTCACATGTTGTTGTGCCAATGAGCATTTTTGCCGCCGCAGAGCCTCACTAAGTTTTGCGTTGCAAAGTTCACAAGCAGGTCTCACACCACAGCCGAAAGGTGAAAAAGTGCTGGCCCAACGATTATGTTCGACAAACTTGTGACGTTGGCATGCGCCCACCCGCAGGGTTGGCCTTGACTCTCTCGTGTGTTTGTGGCATGGATCGAACGGCTATTCCTTGTGTGCAAAACAAGGCGTACCTTCTGCGCGATTGAGTGGCTCGAATACGTTCTGAGTCATTGTTGTTGCGCACGCCGCGAGTATGGTGAGAATTTGCGCGATATATATGGTCGCGAAGTTCGAGAATAAGTTCTCAACAAACATCGTGGCTAACTGAGTGGAATGAGTGTGCACCCCCAATGGGATGAACAGTTTATCCAAACATGCTTGAATGGGTTTGAAATTACCAGTGTTTCCTGGAACCAAGTTTTCTTGCACATGGCATGGCACAGACAAACATGAAATTTGTCATGATTTGTTGAGTTTTAAACTTCACCCTTGAAAAAAATGCTTGATGGCTTGACACCATCACCGCCTGGTTTTGTACCCAAACCCCATGTTCTTTTCTGTGGCGAGTGGCTGTCCCCTGTCCGCAAAACAACAGCATTTCTTCTGCTATTGATCAATATGTTTGAACTGTAATTTGAATCAGCATGAAAAGAGTGATTTCATTGTCATCCAAACATTCTACACGCCGTGAATATGATGAACACTTGATCATTATCTTGGGTCGCGAAATTTTTTGAATATTTCCCAACAACCACTGTGGAAAACTGAGCTGAAGAAGATATTCGTGATTACATCGGTACAGAAAGGGATGTTCGGGCGACTTGCCATCACGGAACAATTTCATTATGCTTGCTTCTCTGCTGGATTCCGTCGGCTGCCATGTTTGAGTGCAAAGAATTGACAACTAATCTTTATGGTTGAATGCGTGTCCACGATGGAATGATGGATTCCGGTTTGGCTCATGGCTGTCGTAGCAAACGGCTGCGTGCTGTTCCCCGATCTAGTGAAGCTACACTCCTCAACATGGCGGCCCCGTCCTTGACTGCAAAGCCAGGTGCTAAGTTTATTGTTCTAGGGCATCGAGGGTGTGTCCAACCCCATTTCCATTGCAACAGATTTCCGCAGCCAAACGCGCCTCGACACTTGTTCCCAGTGCCCTTTCATGATGATAAATGTTTCTTTGACGACTCATTTAGAAAGCTAAGGCTTCTCTCCGAATTTGTGGGCACGTTCCTTCTTGTGCTCACTGTTGGATGCAATGTCTTGGGCGGCAATGTGACGTGGGGCGGAGTGTCGATTGCCTTTGTTCTCATGATCTGCATCTACGCGATGGGTGCCGTTTCGGGAGCAAATTTCAATCCAGCGGTGTCGGTGACTCTTGGCATTTCCAAGGCGATGGGTGGGCCAGGTCTCGATTGGAAAACAGTTGGCCAATATGCGGCTGTGCAGACGCTTGAACAACATCAGTTTTTTTGGTTTAGAAGAAGTGACATTTTTCCGAAACATATTTTGCACCATTGTGCAGTTGAAGATCAGGTCGGCAGCCGGCATTTGTGCCGCTGTCTGCTATTGCCTCTTGTATGGCCAAAGCTTCAACTTGACACCTTCTGATGGATTTGGCTGGCTGAACGCCGGTATGTGCGAGTCGCTCTACATGCAGCCTGCCTTGATTGGCATCCTGTTAATTGGCCTCCAGCGTTCAGGTTCTGATTCCCAACGTTTTTGAACCCTGATGTCATTAAAGGTTCGTGCTTTGCTTTGTCGTGCTGAATGTTGCTGCAGCTCGAAAAAATACAACAGAGCACAACGAGTACTACGGCATGGCGATTGGGTTGGTTATTGTTGCCGGAGCCTATGGCGCAGGAGCTGTGTCGGGAGGCTGCTTCAACCCGGCTGTGGCTCTTGCAATTGACGTGTCAAGTGCTGCCCGTGGGTTTGGATGGTGTGTTCCTTATGTCCTCTTCGAGCTTCTGGGTGCGGCAGCAGCAGCTGCCTTGTTTAAGGTGGTACGGCCTGAGGATTTCTTTGGTGAAAGGACGGGCAAAGCAGAGCTCGTGTCAGAGTTTCTGGGTACCTTTGTGCTTGTGCTAACCGTTGGTTTGAACGTATTGGCCAAGTCCCAAGCTGGTGCCTTCTCGATCGCGGCAGCTTTGACATCTATGATTTACGCTCTTGGGGACGTGTCTGGAGCTCACTTCAATCCTGCAGTGACCCTGGCAATCTTTGCATCAGGAAGATGTGCTCAGTTGACCCCTGGAAAGGCAGGCATGTACATCGGTGCCCAAATACTTGGTGGAGTTGTGGCAGCCTTCATGTATTCCTTCATCTATGTGGGACAGTCCTTTCCGCTGGGTCCCGTCGGCAGCAGCACATGGTCTCAAGTGATTGTTGCTGAGGTTGTGTTCACATTTCTGCTGAGCTTCGTGGTGCTTTGTGTGGCCGTCTCGCCTCGTACGAAGTCTTCACACATGTTTGGTCTTCTGATAGGTTCCTGCGTCACTGTCGGGGGCTTTGCAATTGGCGGCATCTCTGGCGGCTCCTTGAATCCGGCTGTCTCTGTGGGAATTGCTTCTGCAAATCTCCTGAACGGTGGCCTCTTCTACAAGGCCTTGGTCTATTCTGCATTAGAGCTGGCTGGAGGAGCTGCTGCTGCTGGCATCTTCAAGCTCACGCATGATGTTGACCTGGACATGGCAGAGAAGGAGAAGCTGGTTGCATGATGCACGTCAAGCAGCATTCAGGGCAAGTCCTGCAAAAACAGGCGTGTGCTTTCAGTGCGTCTCCGTGTTTGAAATTGCATGCTACTTGTTTTGCACTGCTCGCAGCTGTTTGGCTCATTTGGCTCCAAAGCTTGGTCTTGTGCGCTGCTGTGAAGGACTGCTGCAGGAAGGGACGGTTGGTGCAGCATCACCCGTCGCTGGTCCCTGCGGAGGACTCAGCATGACATCGTTGCGCCGAGCTTTGCAGAATGCCCTGCCTCTTGCAGAACATGCATGCGGCTCAGATACTCTAAGGTTTTTCGGCTCACAGGAGGCTCACAGGAAAATTGACCTGCCAAACAGGCGCTGCGGCGGCCTGCGTCTGCACAGCTGGTGCGCAGCTTTGCCACAACGTGGCTTGGCAGACAACTTCTAGACAAGCTCTGATTTCAGCGAGCAATATGTGAGGAAGGCTGCTTCTCCAGAAACCCCGCTGATGCACTACAAAGCCACACAGCAGGTCCATCTTGTTTTGGCTTTCGCAGAGTTCAAACCCTCAGTGCATTGGCAGGCCACCAGTTCCATCAACCACCGCATCTTCTATGTTAACGTGGTGGCTCGGTTGGAGCTGAGAAGTCCGCAAGCAAAGTCAACCAAGCAGTGCTTGAAGGTGGCTATGGTGCTTGTGTACGACCTTGGATCATCAATGCTGGACTTCTGATCGTTTTGCAAACAGTGCGCCACATCGGGTGTTCAAAAAAGGATGATTTCGGTGGCAATCATGGGTGAAGCTAGCTTTTCTTTGCTGCGCAGGTGAACCTTGATGTTTTTTTCTGCTTTTGGGCTCATAGTGAGCTGACGTTTGGGTTCTCGTTTTATTCGCCACCTAGCTCATCCTCAAATGCGCTGTGAGTACTTTGATGCCATCTCTGATTTGTAGTTAACGCTGTGTGGCCCGATGTATGCTGCTGGGCACAGGCCAGACTGTTCAAGCTGCAGGAGCCTTGTGACATGCACTTCGCGCTGTTGCTCAGCAAAGTTGGATCTGCTGCAGCTTCTGTTGGCTCTGGCTTCTGCTGTGACCATGCCTCGCCTGGTCGTGTCTTCCATGGCAGCCGTGGCCGCACTGGCGGCCGGGGCGGCCTTCGTTGCAATGCCTGCAAGAGCACCTGTGATGCCCAACAAGCGCTGCCGGCATGT